GGCGAATGGTGTAGGCGGGATGTCCATCAATGTCACGGGTGGGAGGAGAGACTCGGAAGGAGGGCACATGGTGCTAGTATGAATAGGCTTTAATTGGGAAACATGGAACATAGGGTGGATGCGGAGAATGGCTGGGAGTCGAAGACGGAAGGACTGATTACTGACTCCACCTCGAATGGACCGATGAACCTGGGAGCGAGTTTCTTGGACATGGATTTGAGTGGAATATTCAGAGTGGAGAGCCAAACCTTCTGTCCGGGACTGTAGGTGGGAGCAGGGATCCGTTTGCGGTCTGCGAACCTTTTATTGCGGAGAGAGGTGGTGTTGAGGGCCCGGAGGTGAGTCTCCAGATGTTCTTGCAGTGACGGATGTGATGTTGAACAGATGTAACAGATATGAGGGATTCGTCTGAAGTGAGAAGTGGTGGCTGGTACCCTATGGAGGCTTCGAAAGGAGACGGTGGCAACAGATACATGACAGTTGTGTGCGTACTCCACCCAGGGCAGATATTGACTCCAGTCACTAGGATTGGTGGAAGTAAAACGACGGAGTGTGGACTCGATTTCTTGGTTGAGCCTTTCAACCTTATCATTAGTCTGGGGGTGATAACCAGAAGTTAATGAGACTTTTGTGTTGAGTGCTGTGCAGAACTGCCTCCAGAGCTGAGAAATAAATTGTGGGCCTCTGTCAGACAAAATCTCCACCGGGAAACCATGTAACCAGAAAGCCTGTTTAACAAGGAGATGAGCCGTCTGGAAGGCAGAGGGGAGTTTCTTGAGAGCTACTAGATGACATGACTTGGAGATCAATGATGGTGAGAATAGTTGTCATACCTTTAGAAGGTGGTAATCCGGTGGCGAAGTCAACTGCGATGTGTGACCAAGGATGGAGTGGGTAGTGGTTGAAGTAGACCCAAAGGTGGTTGGTGAGTAGGTTTATTTCTTGAACATACTGTACAGGCTTGAACAAACTCCTTGACGTCATTATGTATGGACAACCACCAGAACCTGCAATTGATTAGAGCAATTGTTCGGCTCATACCTGGATGCGCGGAGAACTTTGATGCATGGATCCACTGAAGGAAGCGGGCTCGGACAGATGAAGGGACATAGATCTTTCCAGGGGGACAATTCTCGGGTGTCGGTTCCAACTGCTGGGCCTGCTTAATGACATCCTCCATCTTCCAGGTAACAGCGGCCACAGTGCAGCTGGGAGGAAGGATACTGGCTGGAGTCTTTTCTGAGTCGTCAGAGGCATATACTCGGGACAGTGCATCGGGCTTGACGTTGCGGGAACCTGGTTGATATGAAATGGAGAGATTGAATCTTGAGAAAAACAGACCAGCGGAATTGACGTGGGTTTAGTCTTTTGGCTGAACGGAGATAGGAGAGATTTTTGTGATCCATCCAAACCAGCACCGGCTGTTCTGCCCCCTCCAACCAGTGCCTCCACTCCTCCAAGGCCAACTTTATGGCCAGCGGCTCATGGTCTCCCATGTCATAGTTACTTACGTTCAGGGGGTGATGATATGTGTGAGAAGAAGGCACAGGGGTGAGTCTTATCATCAGAACTGGAAATCTGAGAAAGGACCGCTCCAACCCCAGAATCCGAGGCATCCACCTCCACAAACTGCTTGCAAGGATCAGGCTGAACCAGGACCGGTGCTGTAGAAAACAGTTAATTAAATTTTTTGAACGCCGCTTTGGCCACAGGAGACCAGAGGAACGGGACCTTGGTGGAGGCGAGAGCTGTTAGAGGTAAGGCTGTCTGACTGTAATTGCGGATGAAGCGGCAATAGAAGTTGGCAAAACCCAGGAACCTTTGCAACTGTTTGCGTGTCTGGGGAGTGGACCAATCCAAGACAGCTTTAATCTTTTCCTCTGTTGGCCGTACCTGTCCGCCGTTGAGGATGAAACCAAGGAATGAAACAGATGATTTGTGAAATTCACACTTTTCAGCCTTTACATACAGGTTGTTTTCTAAGAGTCTTTGTAGAACGAGACGGACATGATGCTTGTGTTCGGCCAGGGATTTGGAGTATATGAGGATGTCATCTAGGTAAACAAATACAAAAATGTAAAAATCTCGGAGAACATCATTTACTAATGCTTGGATACAGGCGGGGGCATTTGATAATCCAAACGGCATGACCAGATACTCAAAGTGGCCTGTAGGAGTCTTGAAAGCCGTTTTCCACTCATCTCCTTCTTTAATTCGGAGAAGGTGATAAGCATTGTGCAGATCCAGTTGGAAAAAAACAGTAGCTCTATGAACAGGTCTGAATGCAGATGACAACAGGGGTAAAGTATATTTGTTTTTAACAGTAATCCGATTTAAGCCACGGTAATCAATACAGGGTTTGAGCGTTCCGTCCTTCCTACTCACGAAGAAGAAACCTGCTCCCAATAGAGAGGAGGACGGGCGGATTATACCTGCAGCCTGCGAATCTTTAATGCATCTCTCCATCGTCTCTCGTTCCGGGCGTGAGATGTTATAAAGACGGCTGGATGGTAATGGAGCTCCGGGCAATAAATCTATGGAACAATCATATGGTCGGTGTGGAGGAAGAGAACAGGCTTTAGTTTTGCTGAACACAGATGCAAGATCATGGTAATCAGCAGGCACGGAAGACAGATCGGAGGGTCAGGCTCCTGACTAACCGCCATTTACCATAGAATAATTCGGCAGAAAGTGTTAGGTAAAGAACATTTTCTTTTCTGACCCACCAAGTTCCTCACTGTTACTGATGGGTCTTGGAGTTTAACTTTCTTGGGCAATGGCCGGAAACCCCACAATATAGGCAGAGTCGGCCGGTCATGCACTTCTGACGCTCCTCGGGGGAGAGTCGAGTATTTCCGATCTGCATGGGCTCGGGTTCGGAATGATTCGGCAGAGGATGAGGTGGTTGGACAGGCGGAGTGACTCAAGCGTGCTGGTTCTTGTATCCTCTTTCCTTATTTCTTGAGCGGATTCTGCTGTCTATTAGAAGAGCATTAATAGGTGTCATTTTCACCACTCCTGTACATATACATAAAGACCTACTCTGTAGTCCAGAGGTTCCCAAACTGTGGGGCGCCCCCCTAGGGTTTTTACCTTAGAATGGCCAACTCTCTGTTATTCCTATGTCAATTTGATATAGTAGGGGCTTCCACACCTCTGGATTAGGATTATTTCTCTTGAATTATCTTTCCTTAGTCTTTTTAAAGCTTCAGCATATGAAACGCTCTGTTATTTTGATTCTTTGAGCTTCTCTGGCTTCCCTTTGTATTTTACATCCACCATATGCTGCACTATGGTCTCCTCTGCAGTTACAACATTTGATTTTAGTATCTTTATTACACTTTCCATATTCATGTGGACCTCCACATCTTACCTAAGTTTTCCTTTACAATCCTTTGCAATGTGTCCTATTCTTTTGCAAGTAAAACATCTGAGGGGTTTAGGAATGTACTCTCTAACTCTGTAGTTCATGTATCCTAGCTGGATATTTTCTGGAATTTTCAAATTGTAAAATTACTGCCATTGTGTCTTTAAGTTCCCCATCTCTTTTACTTGTAATCCTGGTGGCGCCTGTTATTTTCCCTCCTTTGATTTTTTTTTTTTTTTCAAATCCTCCATTGTCATTTCCATAGGAACTCCTGATATTACTCCTCTCAGCCTTGCTAAATACCCTGGAATATATGTTTTAATTCTTTCCCCCCATCAAGGTTTTCATTCTTATTATCTTTTGTTGTTGTGTTTCACTGATAGCATATATTAGCACTCTTCTGTTATTCGTAATTCTAGCCGTATTAATTTTCCCTATTTCTTCCTCTATTGCTCTGGTCAGCTTAATCGGGTGAATAGATCCTCCTTTTTGCTTGAAACCCAATATGACTTTAAATTCTACTTCTCTAGTAAAGTCATTCTGTTCTCGTGAACTTGCCCTGTCGTTTGTTTTTGTCATTTTGTTAGCTTCTTCTCTTGCTTCACTTTCTTCCGACCAACTTCTTGCCCTTTCTTGTCTCTTCCTAAGTGCTCTTTTCATTCTTGCTGATCTTGATATCATCCATTCCATCTCATTTTCACTATTTCCTCCTAATGTAGAAGCCAGGTTGCTACAGTCAATGTACAGTTTATGCAATCCGCCAAAATCAAATCCTACCGCCTCCGTTTATTTGTTACGTTCACTCGCTTCTCCTTCCACCTCCTCGGTCCCTCAGCGACCAACCCATGCAAACCTCCTTCTGCTCCCCACCGAGATTGTTTGCCTCAGTCCTCGCGCACACACACAAGGGTTAAGCATCAGGTAACGAGGTAATTGATCCCCGGTGTGAGGATGACTACTGGAGGACCCTCGGCCCGGCCGCCTCATGGACTCCATCTAGTGGAATGTACAGCAGCAACCCCAGAAAACCAAAGAAACCACAGAACCTAATACACTGACCTAATACATATGAGGTATGTGTCTTATTGACTTTACATTTTCCTTGATAAAATAACATTGACTATGTCCTCTTTCTTTGTAATGTTAGCTATGAGCAATTCAAGCCAATCCTACCTTGCTAATGTTAGCTAAAATTATTAAACTCCATTACTGTAATGTTAGCCCTTAATATTAAACATATTTTAAAGGCAGGCAAATATTTTTTTTTCCCTCCAATTTTAATCTAGGAACTTCAAAGTTAATATGTTAGTCAAAGTTAACTTTTATGTGCATTATTTAGCAACTTGGCTGATGTTACATGATGCTTGTGTTCTTTGCTTTGCCGAGTTTAGCCACATGAAGACCCATTTTAGCCTAAGGACACATGGTGGGAAGTGGGGGGGGGACAAATGTGGCTAATGAAGACATGCTACCATGTGGAGGATGATAATGAGGACCAGACACCAGAGAAAGTTCTTGTTTGACCAAAGAGAAAGAAGCAGATGAAATAGAGAGGTGGGCAAGGACAGGTAAGTGGGGAAGAGGGAGCAGGAATCAACATCCACCAACTGAGTTAATAAGTTACGTTCTAGACAACTAATTGTTGTCAAATGTAAAACTGGTGTTTAATCTATTTATTTATTAATAAACTTCTTGCAAACATCCATAAGTAGTATCTGGTTGGAAATAATTTAGAATGCTCATTAAGTAAAAAGATACACTCACTGCCTAAAACTATACATTAAATGATGCAATCTGAATAACAACAGTGGCAGTCTGTCTGAACTTCTGCCAAACAAATATTTGATCAGAATAATTTTGTTGAGCTTTAGTTATTACGCTACTTGTTTTAAGAAATAATTGTACAGTGATCCCTCGCTATAACACCGTTCATCTTTCGCGGTCTCGGTGCTTCGCGGATTCTTTTGTGCAGTTTTTTTCAAAGTGCATGGTGTTCTGAGTCCTGATTGACTAAAATATACGTTATACAGATTGGCCATTCAGGAGATGGAAACTGAAACTTTTAACCTGTTGGTCTCAGGTTGTCATTCACAATGACAG